CAGTTTTCTTGGAAACTGTTTTAACAGTTTAAAGCTTTCTCTTGCAAAGTCCCTGCACTACTAATGTGGGGGTGGGAGGGCTTCATCTCCCCCTGCAAGCCCAGGGCTGAGCCCATATCCCTTCCAGGACCTGCCTTCAGCACCTGCTCAGTGCTGGGCAGCCTGGCACGCTTTCTGATTTGTTTCTTTGAAGAGTGATATGCTGATTCAAATTGCACAGGAGGAAGCAACAACGCATCTCTGTATTGTGATGGGGCTCTCAACGCTGTCTGGCTGTACGAGGATGTGTTCAAATGGGTTTCCTTTCTCAGCACATGGGATACAGGAAGGCAGCAAAGCATCATCTTTAGGCATGGCTGTGGTGAACCACTTGTTCATCTTTCTTGTATCTGCAGGTCAGCTGGTGTGTGTGTGTGTGTGTGTGTGTGTGTGTGTGTGTGTGTGTGTGTGTTCTTCAGTAAACTAAGTGCCAAGCTCATCACGTCCCCCTGCTATCACAGTGCTGTATTCCATGCATCCAACCTCCATACATTGGTATTTATACTGAACTATCAGTGGAATCACTGACCCTGGAGGGGTTGAAGGAATGTTTGGATGTTGTGTTGAGAGACGTTGTTTAGTGAGAGCTATTGGTGATAGGTGGGTGGTTGGACTGGATGATCTTGTAGGTCTTTTCCAACCTTGGTGATTCTGTGATTGCATCCTGCTCAGAGAGCACCTCTCTGCTGCTGCACAAATAGGAAAAACTTCTGCTTCACCGAAGCTCATAATGCCTTTGAGGCATTGGATTCCTCTGGTAGCATTTCCCAATCAAAGTATTAAAATGAGAGTTTTATATCCAGCCAGTACTCTTCTCAAGCTGATAAAGGCAAATGAGGGATCATTTATATGATTTAGGTTATGAGAAGAGTATAGGAAGAGAAATGCTTTGCTTATATTATTTCCCACCTGTATAAATATGCAGCTGCTGTTTCTAATAAATCTTACTTTAAAAAAATGGCACTGTTATGAAAGATGAGGGATGGATTCCCAGGGCTTTACCTTCCTGCTGCTCCAGCCCATGGTAGCTCAGGTGGGATTTCCCTCCTCCAGCCCTTGAATCAGCAGGCAGAAACTGTGGGTTCTGGCTGAAATGGGAAGGATGCTCCGAAGTGAGATGTAGCTGCAGCAGCCTGAAGGCAGAAGGAGGGCTGTGCTGTGATTGGTGTTGCTGGGGGTAGGGGGGTGGAAAGCCAAACAATCCTATTCAACAGCAGAGGAGAAATTAGGAGCTTGAAAATACCAGCAAACTGAAATGAAAAGGATGCAAATTATCAACTCTGATACCTCACTCTCTTTATTCTTGTTTGGATATATAAGTAATATTTTGTGGTAGACACAAATCTTGAAATTTTCCACTTTTTATTTTTGTGGGAGATTGGGTTAACTTATCCTTTATCCTGCAAGTTTCCACCCTGAATCCTCTGTCCTAAAATTTCCTCCTAATTCCTAGCTATTTTGTATATTTAGGTTTGAGAAGAAGTGAGAACTGAGGATTTCTGTCCTTCAAGGAGATGGCGTGAATTAGTGGTAGGAAGGGGTGGCACAGGGGCAGTGATGGGGGTGGGGAGATGCTGCACTGTGTTGGGCAGCAGCTCACTGCTCTGGGGGCAAATCTTGGTTCCATTCCTGTCAGGAAAACACCTGCACATGGCGAGGGAAGCAGGCTGCTAGGCTGTTGTTACAGTGCAGATGGGGGAGCCTGAATTATGCAAGGCTTGACTGAAACATCACGTAGCTGAGAATAAGGCCATGCTAGCTCTATTAATGTCTCTAAACCTTTGTTCTTGAAAGAATCATCAAGGCTGGAAAATACCTCCAAGATCATCCAGTCCAACCATCCACCTACCGCCAATATTCTCCCCTAAGCCACATCCTGTAGTACCACATTAAACTCTTCCCAGAGATGGGGACTCCACTGCTCCCACGGCAGCCCATTCCAGCCCCTGATTGCTCTTTCACTGAATACAATTGGGATGAGGTGTGGAAATACTAAATTTTACATCGTGTACATTCCTGGTTTTTACTGATGCAGGAGTTGGTATTCCAGGTTGTTATAACCACGTGGACCAGGTCAGCTTTTCCTTACAATAAATAAGGGTGAGGGGGGGAAAAAGTGGCTTAAGCAGTAGCTGTATTTCTTTTGTTTTTAATTTCTGAGACTATTTCTCCTTCCAAATGCAGTGATGTTATCTCCATTGGTGACGTTACACCTGAAAGACATGCCATGGGATTTAAAGTGGCTGCTCCACTCCAACCTGGAAACACAGTAAGTTCATCCTAATTCCTATGTCATCTTATTTCTACATAGGACTCTGCCATTCTTGTCTGCTTGACATGAGCTACCAGTGCTGGTGATTATTCATTTGTGCTGACTGTTAGTGATAGTAATAAAATGTTGACAATGCCTTAGGGTAAAGCTTTCAAAAACGCTTTTTAATAAACTGTGGAAACTGTTGTTTCAGCAATTGGAAAATAATTAAGAAGCAATTACAGAAGCAAACAGAAATCCTGAGCGTATAGCCAGGCCATTAAAATATGTTCTCTAAGAAATTACCACAGCCACACTGGAAAGAAAAGCTACATTTAAATAAAGTTATGGCTATAATGAACTGAAAAGGAAGAAAAACCGAAGCAATTCACGCTGGAAAGAGTAAGTACTTGTCTGCCCCCTGTCCCCTGGCACACTGTCAACCTATGGTAGTTTTTCTTTCCTTAATTTTCTTATACAGAGTAACAGCTGCACATTCTGGAGTCTTTTTTTTCTTACTTTGTTTCTCAGCAAGCATTGGGTGCTCTGTGACTGTGCTGCAAACATGAGTGCAGGTGGAACAGGAGGGGGAACAGCTTCATGCCTCCTTTCTCCAGCAAGCAGGTAACGGTGCAGTGAAGAACTCTGATATCTGCTTTTGTGGTGGGAATGCTTCCTGCTCCAGGGATGGCAGAATGAGACCCATTGCTCACCAACACGTATGGCATATCGCTAAATCGATCAAATGCTGCTGCACTGAAAGTCCACGTGCCAATAGAGAGGGATGCTTCTGATTATAAATTCTCTACGTGGAGTGCTGGCTAGCTCATTGAGAAGGCAAAAATCAATGACATTACCACTCATAAACCACACTCCTTGTGCCTGCTTCTCTGCACAGCCCTAATTGTCATACTATGTCTGTCAACTTGGCCTGCATCATAGCAATGCCCAAAATCATTCAAGGAGATTCAAAAGAAGACATAGGTGCAAAAGGCCCCCACCAAAACAGTACCCAGTGCCAAAAACTCATCTCTTACAGAAGGAGAGGGGTGAAGCTCATGGCTGAAACTGCTCCTTATTCACTGCAGGATGTGACCTCTCCAACTCCCTGAAAGAAGCATGCAGCAAGGTGGGGGTCAGCCTCCTCCCTGGCAATAAGATGAGTGGGTCAGGTTGGTATCACAGCAATGTCTGCTCCAGAGAGCAGCCAGGTGCTGGCACAGCTGCCCTGGGGTGGGCAGTCCCCATCCATGGAGGTGTTCAGAGCCAGGGTGATGTGGCACAGACATGGGCACAGTGGGGTGGGTCAGCTCTCAGGAGCCTTTTCCCACCTGAATTCTAATAACGAGATATACAAGAATTCTAATAATGAGATATACAAGTCATCCTGAGTGTGAACCTGCTGTTTAGTCACTGAAATCTGGTGAGGGGGTATTTGGGTTGTTTTTCTTTTTTAGGGTTAATTTATTTAAACCTGCATGGGGTTGGATTGAGGGGAAAACAATCAAGCTGATGAGAGGCTTCATTTCTCAGTAAGATAACTGAAAAACTGTCTATCTGCTATTTACAATACAGAATGGGCATCTTGTGATTTTCTTGTAATGACCTGAGTTGAATGGCACAGCCATTTGTGTTATGGGTCCTGAAGAGGGGATGTTGGCACAGCACAGCCAGCCATCACAGCCCTGCATGGCTCCAGGGAGACACAGATAAAAGCTTGCCCCCCCTTTGCCATGTCTCCCATTCAGTGAGGTGCAGGCAATGAGCAAATTTGTCAAACACATTGCGCTGACTCAGCTCTCCAGTTATCTGTTGGGCATTACATTTCACCCTGGTGCAGAGCCTTTTTAGTTTCCCTTGGTGAATAAATTACAAATGCTAATTTCGGCTCAGTTGAAGAGAAGATTAAGGCAGCGTAACAGACAGGCATGCCAAAATATTTATTGAATAAGTTGCAAAAGCGAAACAAAAAGGCTGTGTATTTCAAACTGAGTGCTGAGCAGGGCTCCAAGCTGAATTTAACATCAGCTCCTTTATTCACCCAGAATCCAATTTAGTGCGAGTATATTATATCCAACATCTGTATCCTGAAATCCACTGCTGAATAAGCTTCTAAAATTCTATTTTCTGCAGTTTTGGTGTATACTTGCACATATGTTTCTTAGTAAATCACAATAATAACCCTAATTCCATGAGGAGGACCTAAAGCAAATGCTGCCCTTGGGCTGCTACCCACCCATCCACAACTGCTCTATGAGGTTAGCACTTGTTTTCCTCTCCATTTCCATTCAGCCTGTTGTAAATGAATGGGAAGAACAATCTGAAAAAACTGTTACAGAAGTATTTGGAATGTAGCAGCTGCATTAATACCTATTTTTGGGGTCACAGTTGGAAAAATATACAGTTCTTTCAGCTCTCACAGACATGGTGGGATTTCTGTTAGCAGCCATAGAGAATTCTGTCACTCAGCTTCATACAATTTGGGCTCCTTGTGCAGTCCTCCCTTTTTTCATACGCACAGAGGAAAGGTAGATTTTGTTCTGTTTCTGAAAAGCAGTTTCTATAGCATCCTTGTAGGCATTAGAGACTTTGGTTTGCTGCATAAAATAATGAGTTACACTATGCCTGCATTAAACAACACAGATATATGTCAGCATTTCCATGTCATCCTTCTGTCACAGTGAATGAATGACAGTACAGTATATGGGCTCATTAGGTAACATCCAACAGGTTTAATATCCATGGATGTGTTGGATTTCTTTTATGCTTGTTTAAGTGTTTTTTAGATATTCCAGCAACTGAATCTAGGGGAAGAAAATTTCACAAAAGCCAAAATAATTCAAGAGAGCACTTGCAAAAATGAAGTGCTGAATTTAACCATTTCAGTGCAAGTTGAGTCTCAAAGCAGCAAGCAGCAGAAACAGCCTCGTGCAGTTCTCTTTCTCAGTGTGATCAGCTCCTAGAAGTTAAGCTGAATAATAAATACACTTCAGAAAATAAAGATCTGTTTGAAGAGAGAGAGTTTCTGGGATCGTGGGAATAAAACACTGAGGGTAACAGCTAAAATCGAGACAGTAACAGTGAGGTGATACACAAATGAGAGTTCAGTAGCCACAGGCCTCGGATCCCAAGAATTAAGAGTCACAGTAAGAACATAAGATACATTCACTTCATTGTACGAGGCAGACATCCCATTCAAAAATGGATGAAGTTGATGCACTGATGATGCACTGCTAGTTAAAGAACGCATGCACTCAGTGTTCTCCCTGCCTCCTCTATTTTATTTATACTAACCCCTTGCCATGACAGTGATGCTCACAACCTCCTTTCCAGAAGTCTCCCCAGTCTTCAGGATCTTGCTCCAGTGACGTCCAGTGCCAATGTTTCTCCACTTAAACCAGAAGAATATGTCCTGGCATCCTTGTGAATATCTTCTACTGTGCCCTGTTCAGGGGATAAACCAGAGGCAGTTACTGACATGTAAAATTCTCAGTGGTCAGAGCCAACAAAGCTTTGTAGGTGGATTCGAGTCTGTGAGTCTGGCTTTGTAAACTTGGGTTGTGTGTAAAGGGGAGATGTTTCTTCAGTGCCTTGCAACCACGGTTTGCTAAAACCATCATGAAGCCTGAATTGCCCCATGCCATGCTTGCTCTCCGCTCTTGGAAGTGGTCTTGAATTCATCTGATAGAAAGATGTGCTCATCACTTACAAAATAATCATGCACAGCTACCTCTGTGCCTTTATGGTGAGGGTGACAGTGCTGGAACACGCTGCCCAGAGAGGTGGTGGAATCTCTTTATGTGGAGATCACAGAATTGTAGGGGTTGGAAGGGACCTCCAGAGATCATCGAGTCCAACCCCCCTGCCAAAGCAGTTCCCTACAGCAGGTCGCACAGGTCGGCATCCAGGCAGGTCTTGAACATCTCCAGAGAAGGAGACTCCACCACCTCCCCAGGCAGCCTGTTCCAGTGCTCCGTCACCTCACTGTACAGAAGTTCCTTCGCACATTGGTGCAGAACTTCCTATGCTGCAGTTTCTGGCCATTTCCCCTTGTCCTGTCTCCACTCACCACTGAAAACAGTCTGGCCTCACCATTCTGTCCCTCACACCTTAGATATTTATAGACCTGGATCAGGTCCCCTCTCAGCCTTCTTTTCTCCATGCTGAACAGACCCAGTTCACTCAGCCTTTCCTCACAGCAGAGATGCTCCAGGCCCTTCACCATCTTCGTGGCCCTCCGCTGGACTCTTTCCAAGAGATCCCTGTCTTTTTTGTACTGGGGAGCTCAGAACTGGACGCAGTGCTCCAGATGAGGCCTTACCATGGCAGAGCAGAGGGGGAGGATCACCTCCCTCGACCTGCTGGCCACACTCTTTTTAATGCACCCCAGGATGCCATTGGCCTTTTTGGCCACAAGGGCACACTGCTGGCTCATGGCCGACCTGTCGTCCACCAGGACACTCAGGTCCCTCTCCACAGAGCTCCTCTCCAGCAGGTCATCCCCCAACCTGTAGTGGTGCATGCAATTATTCCTCCCCAGATGCAAGACTCTACACTTGCTTCTGTTAAACCTCATCCGGTTTTTCTCTGCCCAGCTCTCCAGCCTGTCCAGGTCTTGCTGAATGGCAGCACGGCCTTCAGGCGTGTCAGCCAATCCTCCCAACTTTGTATCATCAGCAAACTTGCTGAGGGCGGCCACTATCCCCTCATCAAGGTCATTGATGAAGATGTTGAACAAGACCGGACCCAGCACAGACCCCTGCATCTCTGCCCCAGATTGGTCAGACACAAATAGTCCATTTCTGGGTGGCCCACTGTACTAGTAAGCTCCTGATACACAGTCCAGCTATCTGTACAGATATTCAGCATACTGTCACCAGGTTCCTCATTATAAACATCCACACAGCTCATAGCTCTGCCCATTGGCTATTCTGACCACCTCCTTCTTCAAACCAGATTATTTCAGGAGTGGGATGGTACACCACTGCTCTCCACTTGTTTGAGTTACCCTTGCTGGACCCATCCATATACGAGGCATCTTCAGAAATCTCCTGTAAGCCTGGTCCTTGCACCTTCAGTGGGTTTATAGCCTACCCTTTCTTTTGTAGGAAGATGATAGTCAATGAATCTGCTGCCTTTCCTCATGCCTTAAGTGGGTCTGCTGTCAGCACGAGATCATCAATATAGTGGTAGTGTTTGATGTTTTTAGGATTATTCTATTCTGCTAGGTCACGTGCCACTGAGTTACGACAATATGTAGGCAAGTGCATACTTTGTGGCAGGATCCTAAAGGTCCACTGCCTGCCTCCCCACATAAGTGCAAATTGATCTTGCAACTCTCCATGGATGGGAGTATTGAAGAACGCATTTGCCAAGTCTAGGACACATTGTTAGGTTTCTAGCCCCCTACTCAATGTATCCATGAAGGAGGCAATGTTGGGTACAGCTGCATGAATGGGCGGTGGGACCTTATTCAATTCTATGTAATCCACTGTCATCCTCCACGCGCTGTCTGACTTTGGTACTGACCACATGGGGGAATTAGAGGGGCTATGTGCAGGTCTTTTCCAGTTCCTGAACCATTCTAAGTATTTCCTCTTGCCCCCCTGGGAATCTATACTGTTTAGTATTAGTAATCCAGCACAGACTGGGCAAGTGAATAGGCTCATGTTTCACACGACCTCTTAATATTGCCTGCACCACCTGCATACTAATACATCTCTCTCTCTCAGTCTGAACTCTCCTACGGTCATCTGGAGAGTCAGACTCCATAATATGTCTGCGCCCATTATATACTCCAGGACTGGGGCAATAGACACCTTACACTCCCAGGGTGGGAGACATACAACCCTCAGAATTAACCATGTCCAACATAACCATAGGTTACAAGGATGGTCTGTCCCCCAAACCCACCAGTCACCACCTTACCTCCCTGGAATTTGGTTGGATCACAATAAATAACTGACATTTCTTTGCCTGTGTCAACCACTGCCATAACTCACTGTATATTCTCTTGGGACCAAAAAATAATCAGTTCTAACACAGGGGCCCCCAGACAGGACTGGAGGCCCTAGGTACAGGGGGCTGGCATCCCCTGTCAAGCAAATAGCTGAGAATTGCCAATTCCTTTTCCTCTGGTGACTCTGGCACAGTGGCCTGGATCACTTGAGGAAGATTCTTACTCTTACTGGGAACTAGGAAGTTCCCCAGGTTCCACATTCTTGTTTGTTTGTTTTTCTCAATAAGTCTCACCCCTTTTTGGGGGATATTTTGAAACTTCCGCTTTGAGGTCCCACAGCATGATTTATTTAAGGTAATCCATGTAAGTAAGTATCTGGGCGACTCATCAAGTGCAAGGCTGTAATACTATAATGTGACAGAAAGTACAGCAGCAATGGAGAGCAGCACAATCCTAGGCTGCAGCAAATGAGAACAAGCCCAAATACACCAGCCAGAGATGCTGAAACAAAGAAAGAACAACTGCTTACCTTTAGAAGGCCTCCAGAAAGCAGAGATCTCAAACAAGGTACCATCACCTCTACTGCCAGCCCTTAAATGAGGTCTGGGAAGGGAAGGATCCTGGCTCCACCCTTCTGATCACTCAGCTGCATTGTATTGCATTGCATTGCATTGCATGCACCTGAGATCCCCTGGGCTGGTCCTGCCTTCCCATCAGGTGCTCAATCACTGCTTTGTGCCATGACTTAGCGTTGCCACTACAGGCCCCCATATGGAACATTCCTTTTACTTCCCAGTTAAAAGTACTTGTTTAGGATTTTTGCTTTTCCTGGTGACAAAGTGAGTGAAGCTCAATAGCCACATTTACAGAGTGCTCAAATCCCTACCCACAGACTACTTTTGTCATGAAAAGCAAAGTTGTCATGGTGACAGAGCAGCCTGATACCTCACTACAGGGAAGTGCCAGCAGGAGGTGGGAGCAGAGGGGCACATGGGGTCAATGGGTGCAGTCCTGCAGTCACAAGACCTTTCACAGCATTATCAGTCCATCTCTCGCATAACTGAGGTAACAGGATGTGCATAAGAAAAGCAGAAACTTCTTTCATTCATTGCTGATGGGAGAAAAGGAGTCATTTGTGGAGTTATTTCAACTGAGAGATATGTGACCAGCATCTAGACGAGAGCCATGACATTCTTCTGACAAGTAATATCGACAGTAATTGGCTTCATCCCTCTTTCAGTGTCTCTGTTGTTAATGAGATTTGTGATCTAATTTTTCATATCTCTGTCAGATCTGTTGAGAATAATTTTTCTAACAAACATTTATGGACATAATATGTGCGCATTCATCGAATACGTCCCTTACAATCCAGCCTTCTCCAGGAAGTATTTCTATTCTGACAGATGAGTTTAATAAAAAACTCTCCGAGCTGAGCATTCTGAAACATAAGAATTCAATAATAATAAAAACTTAACCTGCCTCAAATCAGAGCCCTCCTTCTAAATAGACAGCGAGCATCCCCACTTTTAGCTCTCATAAACCCACTCCATGTGTGGTGGTGGTACACCCATCGTTCCCATTTTACAAAGGAGGTGAAGGGGCAAAGTGGATCGCAAGGTTTGCCTGACAGCTCTCTCTTAAGATTTACGTACAGCTCCTTGCAGAGCGAGCAGGAGTCTGCTCCTGAGCCCAGCATCAGTCCTGCTGGAGTCAGCAGCCAGACACAGACTGGTTCCTGGTGCTGTCTGATGGAGAGTGGCCGTTGGGTGGAAGGAGCTGCTCTTTTGGGCCCAGTGTAACTTCCAAATCAATCTGGGAGGAAAAGGAATGGCATATTTGATGTTTCAGATGTTCCTCAAGCAGTGCGACCCGCACAGAAGTGAGGTATAAAGAGCACACTACAGTTCCTCCCTAACTACAGGTAGGGAGACACAGGGGCAGAATCACAGCTCCCCAGTAGAGCTCAAGAAGCCCTTTCTTAACACTACCACTGTGCAACGGAAGGTATTTGATCCGAAGTATGAAGAATGGTTTAATCAGACAGAGTAACCAACTGGTGCAGCTGAAACACTTTCATTCCATCAGAGTCCATTAACAACATAGGCTTTAAATGGAGTTCAAAATAGTTTATGTAAAAAATATAGAAAGAATTAGGAGAGTGACAATTCACCGTGTTTTAGCTCATGTGCTTCTGCAGCAGTGGGAATGGGGGCATTGCTGTGGATTGAGCCCACAACAGGACCTGACCACCCCAAAGCATACTTTCAAGAACAAATTTCAAGCGTATACGTTATAAACCTACAAACTATCTCTGTGAGCTGTGCATGTTTTACATCCCTTCAATCCCATTGCCTAGTATTAGTGAAAGTGACAAGACATTAACTGTAAATTAATCGAATTTTTCATGGATGATTAAAATACAGAAACCATGCAACAGATGTCTCCTTTAAGGTGTAATAACAGAAAAGTGAAAGGGAAATGAATAAACTGCCAGCTTTAGAGATTTTGTATATAGTGCAAATAGGCATTTTCCTTTTAGACATCTCACCAGGAGGAAAGCATTTGTTGCAGCGAGCATGTACTGCTGTCCGAGTGTGACACACAGCATGCAATGACATGGGCAAACTCCTGTCCCAGGCAGGAGCACAGCCTATGGGCTTCCAGGGGGCAGGAGCAGGTGCTGAGTGCAGTGAAGTCAGACTACATCCTCCATCCTTAAAAAAGAGGCTGTGGATGCCCCATCCCTGCAGGCATTCAAGGCCAGGCTGGATGTGGCTCTGGGCAGCCTGGTCTGGTGGCTGGCAACCCTGCACACAGCAGGGGGTTGGAACTGGATGAACATTGTGGGCCTTTGCAACCCAGGCCATTCTATGATTCTATGAAAATACCTTCCTCAGGTGACATGCCATGATTAGCCTGAGCAGCAGAGGAGTAATGCGTTTTGCTGTCTTGGTGCTATGCAATGGGAGAAATAAAGTTGGAAGCAGTGTGGAGCAGCACTGCTCTGATCCTTTGCATACTCTGGATAAGCAGAGCAGGACCTGTGAGGACATTTCTTTTTGTACCCCCACCACACACAGCTTGCTGTTCTAGAGCTGTCACATCTCACAAGCTGCAGACCTTAATGCTAGGAGAGAGCTCATAGGCACTGCATCCCAGGTGCAGGATCTAGCTCTGCACGTGACCTTGCTCTGTTGCATCTATGTTAGCAGAGAGCCATCCAGTCTGGTGACCCAGCAGTGATTTGGGCTCCTGAAGCAAAATCTGTCAAAGGAGGGAAGACTGAGGTTGGATGTCAGGGGGAAGCTCTTTGCTATGAGAGTGGTGAGGTGCTGGAACAGCTGCCCAGAGAGGCTGTGATGCCCCGTCCATCCCTGGAGGTGTTCAAGGCCATTGGATGGGGCCCTGGGCAGCCTGGGCTGCTGTGCAATGTGGAGGTTGGTGGCCCTGCATGTGGCAGGGGGTTGGAACTTCATGATCCTCGAGGTCCCTTCCAACCCGGGCCATTCTATGATTCTATGATCAGTGTAAAGCACAGGAACAGAAGCTATGTGCCACACAGTGTTCTATACACAACAGTAAAATTTACAGTGATTCTCAGAAAATGTGCTCTGAAGAAGAAACAGTCCTCCAAAAGCCACTAGAAGTTGATGGTATTTCATATTTTTTTCACAAATTATCAAGTTTGATAATAATAATAGATAGAAAAGTAGGTTTTGACGTGAAGAAGCTTGAGCTGAAGCTGAAATCACAGAGAACCAAGTGCTGAAGCACCTCCCAAACCCCACTGTTACTCCCTGGGATGTGATGTAACTGCACAGAGCACTCCTGTGCCCTGCAGCACCAAACCGTGGGTTGTGAGCAATTTACAGCAAATCATTTGTGGGATTTTTTCAGCATATTTCTCAGGTCCGTGCGCTGCAGTGTCGTTATTGATAGTTGGCAGCGCTGCTGGCAGCGTACAATGTGCATGTTCCCGATAAGAGTGCCCATCTCTTTGTTGCTCTGACCATAAAAAGGCCGATTTATGAGTCACAAGAAAGCGTTTATATTTTGCCTCCTGAATTCGCTGCTAAGAATCTCAAAGCTTTGCTTTGCTGGTGGCAACGAAGAGGAATTAGGTAGATGCAACGAGCAGCAGGAGATAAACACCGCAGGCAGAAAATTTAAGCGTGAGGTATGCTAGTTACACCCATTTTTCACCAGTTTTCACAGCAACAATGATAAGAAATTGATGTCCAAATAGTGTAACACCTTGTTTTACTTACATCAAGATGAAGGGGAGTTGCTTCAGCTCTGCATTGAGATACTTTATGGGATGTGATGCAGTCGGTGAATCATAGAATCATGGACTGGCTTGGGTTGGAAGGAACCTCAAGGATCATCAAGGTGAAAAAAGCCCTTCCAGTTGGGAGGACACATTCAGGCTGATGGTCAAAAGTGAAATCTGTGAAGACAGAAGCGCTCCTTAGCTGAGCTGTGCACACAAATCAGGACTGTTAAGACTTACAGGCTCCTCTCCCATGAGTCCAGAACCCAGAGGCCACGGTCAGGACCCCATGGCAGCAGCCGGGCAGCTGAGGGACCCATGGGAACACTGAAGATTTGCCATTTGCTGAGCAGTTTTCAAATTCCTCTTTGTCTTCAATTGGTAAATGGTCTCCAAAAATCTGTTTCTCAGTTTTTCTTGCTTGTCATTTGAAATCTTATTTAGTGTGACAACGGAAATGAAGCAAAGATATGCAGAAGAGGACCTCAGGTGTGATGGGAAGCACTGAGCACTGCCCAGACCTCCACACCACTACTGAGCAGGTCATTGGAATTACCATACAGAGCTCAGGGGTGGTGACCCTGCCTGAGCTTCCTGAGAATCTCTGCATGGAGAGGCTGGGAAGGGCCAAAAGAGCAGAAACAGAATGAAATCTTAATGACCTGAGGGTGAAGCCCTGCAATGGGCAGGGGCTGAAATTAGTCAGCATGCTGGAGGGAGGGTGCTCATGGAGGAGAGAAGGTCAGGGAGGGGGAAAGCAGGATGGGATGGTGACCCAGGGCAGAGATCAGAAGGGTGCTATAATCAGGAGTTCTGTATCCAGGCCCTTGTTTGCCTTCTGCTCCTCCAGAAGCACGCAGTGCTTTATCAGGTGTTGAACAAGACGTCAGTTTGTGGCATGGAACGAGATGCTGAGTTGTGCCCTCACTGCCCAGAGATGGCAGCTCCTAACGAGGCAGCCGTCGTTAGAAGGGAGCCAGAACGCTGCAGGAGCTCACCCTGACATGGGCATTGTGCTGGCCCTGAGCAGATGGCAGAAACGTCATCTGGTGATGTGTTGCCCAGGACCAGATCCAACATGTAACATGACAGGATGTGGGCAAAGGCAGTTCTGGTGTCAGAGGCAGTAAAGGGAGCATTGTAAAGGCCATAAATTTCTCTGTGGGTTTTTATGTACAGATTGAGTCAAATAAAGTTAAGGAAAGTCAATTGGCTCTTAGAACAATAATGAGCCTGCAATAGAAATGACTGTCCTGCAGTATGGGCAGGATAGACAGAACCTCACCCAGCAACCTGACCCTGCATTGGTCGCATTGCCAGCAGGACGCTGGTCCCAGAAGCCAGCCAGCTCCTGGTGACCTCACAGCTCTTTTTGTTGGTTTTTATAGCAGCGTTTAAAGAATTTTCAAGCAAACTTTCACTTCAGCAGCATATAATAGGAACCGAGGTGTAAAAGCCTGCTGTGTAAGCATTACATCTGATGGCTGGGTGGTTTGGTCCCATCAGGAGTGACTCCAGCTTCAATTCCAAGGGGCCATGCAGATTTCTTGGTGTGGCTTCAGCTGCTATCAGTAATTTTCCCTGCCCCACTGCTTTGTGTACCAGAGCAGGACCACAAACACCCACAGTGTTTGCAGCAAGGCAATATCCTTCATGTACATGGCAGCACCATCGTATTTCAGTTACAATTTCTGTTCCAAGCCTTTAAACACCAGGACATCCCGCTTGTCTTTCTTTGCAAGCCGCTGCCTACTCAGCAGATACTTTTATTAACTCTCCACAGTGATGCCCATGTCTTTGTCATGACTAAAGCTAATTTAGAGCTCACCAGTGAGTTACACTTCACATTACTCCTTTTAATGCGCACCGCTTTGCATGTCAGCAGAGCACTCCATCTGCTGCACTGCTGCCATTCCTCCCACCCCTATGGGAAGTTTCCTTCAGCCTTCCCCTCAATCCAACCACCCGAGTAGCACACCATGGGCACGCTGTGATTCGTTAAGCATGGAGAATTCATTAAGCATCACAGACCTGGGCTCCCACCCTAGCAGGCTCTGCTGAGCTGCCAGGCTGCTGCTTGCTCTGTGTCAGCTTTGTACACACAGATAAAGCACCACACCTGCTGCCCAGAGCTGTTCTGTTCCTCACCATGCTCCTGCAGAGTTGGTCCTTGTGAGTGTCTCACTTCAGGGCTGGAACAAAACACGTGGATTTCCTCAGTGTTTCCTCTCATGGATTACAGATGGAAAGAAAGGGAGCTGTTTCCATCCAAAGTCTGATTGCTGAAAAAAGTTGTTCCAATTCCCCCCCACGTCTCATTTGCCTTGCACACACCCAATCAGAACCCAACAGGAGTTGCACTGAGCCATGCGCTGGGTGTGCAATGCTGCAGCCCTGGGGTGGTCCTGGGCCTCATTCTGATGGTGCCCACATCTGGAGGTTGGCAGGGCCCAGGGCATCAGGCAGCTGCGTTTTCTGGGGGGAAAGAGAATTTCAAGAAAGTGTTTCCCCAGAGGAGACAGAAGCAAAGCTCAGCAGCCTGTCTGGGATGAAGTTCTATCTCATGTTTTAGGAGCTGAAAACAAAAGTTAGAATGGCTGGCTGCACACACACCTCTTTGCATGGCAGATCCTTTCATGCACTGCTTTGGATCAGCAGCTTCGAGTGCATCCTGCAGGTATAGTTTATGTGTTTGGTTACTCAGAGATTAGAAATAATGGGATTCCTACAATTACAAAACTAAAAGACATATGCTATGTTGATGAAAGGTCTGTCCATACTACTGCAACTCCTGATAATTAAATATGCCCTTCCATCAAGCTGGGAAAGACACAAAGCCCAGATTTACAGGCAGCAGAGGGAATCTAAAATTAGACTCCCACTACAAGCAGCGTTAGTTAGGGAGAGCAGAATTTATTCTGTCCACTTGTAAAGTCCCTAATATTCCCAGGGAGAGATTTCCTCCTGCAATAAGTTAAGAAGATGTATCAGGTTTTGAACCTTCCAGGCTATTTGGGGCAAGGTGCTCTTCCAGGGAACAGCACACATTTCAACATGAGAAATTTGGCCATCACTGGAGTTTTTCACATTGTGCAAATGCAGGTGACCTCCACATGCAATTCTGAATCTCAGCCAAGCATCACCACCATTTCCCTTCAAATCACAGAATAATAGAACCCGTTTTCAGTTCCTTAAGGCATTAACTTGCTTTGTGTAACTGGTTGATTAGAATTATAGACTCCTAGAATGACTTCAGTTGAAAGTGGTCTCAAACATCCCCCAGTTGCACCCCCCTGCCATGGGCTGGCTGACCCCAGCAGGTCACTTTGCCCAGGGCCCCATCCAACCTGGCCACTCAGACAGCAGTTCTAATGGGATAAAAATGTGTGCTGTCCCAGTGCCACCTCAAAAACAGCTATATAACCAAAGCCATCTGATTTTATGGAGCTTTCTATTCTAAGCTAATACTCTGGCAGGCTGAGGCTTTACTTCTTATAAATGAGGTAAACAGGAAATCTGAAGAGAGGAGAGAAATGTGGCCACTGCAAATCGGGCTTTTAATTAATGCTTCTTTTACCTGAGCTTCATCTACTTTTCCCCACTATTTCCTCCTCTACAAGCACAGCCCAGTGTGACAGGAAATTAATTAGGCTTGGAACTCTCATCAGCTAAACAAAGGAATCATTAATTTTGGTACTTAAGGAACCGAAACCCCAACTTGCAGCTAACTAACACAGGGGAGGTTGAGGTTGGATATTAAGAGGAAGTTTTTCATCCAGAGGGTGGTGAGGCACTGGAACAGGTTGCCCAAGGAGGCTGTGGATGCCCCATCCCTGCAGGCATTCAAGGCCAGGCTGGATGTGGCTCTGGGCAGCCTGGGCTGCTGGTTGGTGACCTGCACACAGCAGGGGGTTGGAGCTGGATGAGCGCTGTGCTCCTTTGCAACCCAGGCCATTCCATGGTTCTATAACTCTATGATTAACCCACCCTGCACGGGGATTTGGAGTGAACCCCCTTAGGATACCAGGCTGCAGTGGGTGGCCTGTGTTCTGATCTCCTGCACTTCTGGGACTCTGCTCTGCAGGCAATGCGTGCTCAGCCCTGCATGGCGCTGCCCAGGTCCCACCAGAGGGACTTCAGTCCCTGCCACTCAGAAGTTTGTGTCTGGAACATGAGGGCAAGGCTGAGCATCTGCTTTTGGCTGATGCCACGGATCTTTCTGTCTCACTTTAAGGACACTTCCAACCCAACCATTTTGTGATTCTATGTTTCTAGCCAATGCCATAACCTTAAAAAACACAGTATGAGTGCTCAGAACTCACACTCAATATTTATCTTTTCAAAGCAAACACTATTTCTCACATGACTGTATATAGAAGAACGGAATACAAAATACATAAACGAATCTAATGCTGATGCTCCTTTTTTCAAAAGTACCCATCCCTCCTACTAGAGCATTGCCTGCCCTGTTGGACAAGTCTCCCCTTTGTTCAGTGCCAAGCCCCCCCAGTGCTCCCCTTTCTCCCTGGGCTAAGCAGACTGGTGCTCATAAGCGAGGTTCCTGGGCAGCACATACCTCTGTTGACTTCAATAAATGTCATAGGAAGTACAGGAAGCTGACCTGGGGATGGCTCCTTCTGCCTGTAGGGAGAGAATGAATAAATGAGAAACAGCCATAGCTTGCTTCCAAGGGTAAATAGTCGAAGTGTGAGATACAAATTGCTTGTGCATTATTGCTGTTCCCTCAGTTGCCTTGTGGTGCTCAGGTATTTTACCTCATTAGGGGTCCTTCAGGGAAGGGAGGGCTCAGCTGAGCTGGAGGGCAGATGGGACCAACTTCCAAACCAGGTCCAACAGCACTTAAAGGGTCTGTTAATGAACCAGGCTGAGCTCATCTGTGCAGTTCTAGGTGTGAGTGGATGCCAGAGCTTGCCTCACTGTGCCTTTTAAACACTCAGGTTTTTAGCGTGCCCTCAATACTTTTAGATATACATGACCCTTGAATCTGCAGACTGCAAAGTATTTGCCCACTGGAGGAATCTTTTCCCAATAAAAAGCATCTTCTGAGTCTTT